TCCTTAAGTTCAACTGAAATTAAACAATGTTATGTACAAGCGTAAATAATCTATATAATACAGCGAAGAAAATCTAAAACAAAGTTGACAATTAAAAGCCAAACACTTCATGACCGAAAATGTCTCATGCTTAATGAATGCACACACAAAATTGATCTCAAGCTCAAGAGGGTGAGCTGCATTATTGATTTCAAAGTTACATGTGAGATCGACAAGGATAAGGGGGTACTCCCAACTCGGTCGTACATGTCAATTTGCGAATTTCATTAGTTTAACACAAAAGAATCAAGACGAGACGGCATGCATATCGTCATTCAATCGTAAAAGTTATTGTTTATTATACGAATGAAATGAATCATATTTTCCTAAACAAGGAAGCAGGGTTTGTTTTAGTCGTTTGTTTGTTGTTGTTTTTTTGTTAAAAAAAAAATATTACTTGCCTCGCTATGCTCGCTTACGGTCTTTGATGATTTGTTAATTCTCTTTGTTTCGGGTGTTTTATATTAACCTTACAAGCCAAGCTAACTTAAAAATCTTGGACATTTCTTGGCAAAGATCTGCTGCGCATGAACCTTGAGTCGGCTCCCAAAATGTGCAATCGATTTAATTGTCATTTAGTATGAAACACTAGTATCTTAATTCTTCATTTTTACACTAGTGAAAAATGATCTTACGATTGACAGAAATATAGGTGTTTCATATATAATTACATGATAAATGGATTTTAAATTTAGCTGTTTAAAAGATCTCGGTTAAAAGCAACGAAAATGCAAAACTCTACAAGCAACCATCTAATATTCTTTTTATTATATCGTATGATTAACCATGGAAGCAAATTAACTATTAAAATTAAATTACAATATTTTAATATATGGAATATCCAAGAGGTATTACAAATGTGTGAAATAGTCGATAAATATCCATATCATAATACTTTACCTCGTGCACATGAGTGTCCGTCTCCATGGTAATTTGGATTGCATTGGCAAGTATACGATCCAACGGTGTTCGTACATTGTGCATTAACATTACATGTATGGGCGCCAGAGGAACATTCATCAATATCTAGAGTCAGAAACGACAAGTGCGAGAATATTGTACAAACCTTCTTATAAAAACATGTATTTGAGAGTTTAAGCAAGTTTTTTGTATTTTTGTGAGCGCGTATTCATGCTCTCTTAAATCAACCTGAAAAATATCCTCCTAAATCATTTTCTTAAGGTGGCTACTAAACATTTATTCAAAAATCGGATATCAATTACAAGATGATATCAATATTTTATTAATGATACTTTGATTGATGTAAATTTAAACTACAAAAAGAAAGAAATAGACTCTACGTGCAGCATTAAGTAATTTCCCACTTTGACCAGATGTTTAATTTGTTTCATTTTTCATGCTATGTGTTTTCTTATTTTTCCAAATTTTTGCCTGGCTGTTCCTAGACTGATCTTTATAATCTTAGACAACATGTGAATATTGCTGCATCTTCGGCATTATTAATAATAGGTTCTCTGGCCGTTTTTGATTTTATTTTAGCCGGCAACATCTTTATTTACAAGATATGAATATGACGACCGCACGGCACTATGATAGAACGATATAGATTAAATGAAAGAAAGTGCTATTATTACCGCAACCTAACAATCTATTTCACCCCGACCTGCTCCCAGTCTGGCCTTGTAGCTCAGCTGGTAGAGCATCAGTAGTACAAATCCGAGGTCGTGGGTTCGAATCCCTGCGAAGTCGGAAATTATTTTTTTACGAATTATGAGATAAGATTATGAATGTATACACCTAAACGTTTCACAAGTAATTTACAAGATTCGCGTCCGGGTTGTATGGGCTTTACAATCTCTCGCCTTCGGCTCGAGATTGCAAAATCCCATACAACACGCCAGCTCATGTTGTAAATATTAATTACAAACCTGTGCACGTCTTTCCATCACCCTGGTATCCATGGTTACACTGACAGGTATGAGAACCAGCGTTATTGGTGCATTGCGCATCCGCATGACAGGAATGTGCACCAGTTGAGCACTCGTCGATATCTAGTAAACAGTAAAACATAACAATTAGGATAATCATGAGAAGATAATACTTTGATGATAGCAGAAAGAATTCC